GACTGATCTTGCCTAGCAAAAATTCCAGGCTGCATCTCCGTGTATTGGCTACCCAAGTTCAGCCATGCACTTCCAAGCTTGATTGCACGCACAGCAGCAGCATTGGGGCCGCCGGCTTCACCGCTCTGGGGCACCTCGACCTGTTGATCCCTGCCGTGCGCATATTCATCATCAAGCTCGTCCCCTTCGGAAAGAGGCGTGGCTTCCTGGGGCTCGTGGACTGCATTGTCCTCTCTGTCATCGTTCAAACAGTCGTTGGCACACACCACCACGCTCATGATGGAGCCTCGCGCATGCAAGGAATTGTGCCTGTAGTGCATAGGCACGCGCACTGTGCCCCCAGGATTTGTCAAGTAAGGAACACCGTCACTGTGGATGATGTCCCATCCCCGCCTGAGCAACTTGCCGACACTGAAAAGCGGCTGTGTCACACTGCTCAACAGCCAACGCTCCTTAAATTGAACACCGTCAATCTCAAGCACTGCCGTACGCATTTGCGAACCCCTAATCGTGCGACCCTGGGCATCCCTGAAACTATCAAGGCTCGCTCCATCAGCCCTTCCAACGTGTGCCCAAGACAGTGGCAAGCATGAGGCATCCGACCCGGAGTCGACCACAACCTCAATCTCGTTGCTCATGTCTGCCCATGACACGGCACACACACGAAGGTCCTGCAGTGGATGCACAGGTGGGCTCACAAGATGCTCAGCTGCACTCTCGCACGGTTGCACCGTCGGCTCGCACTGCAATGGCTGCCGTGATCGCCTACTTTGCCTTGCATGGCTGCGGGCTGGAGCCCTGCATGTCACATACTCTCGTGCACTGCTCAAACAGCCCACACAGGCGGCTTCACGCATCTCATTCGGCACTGTCCAGACACAGTCACTGTCTGAATATGACATGTCAAACACTTCAGCTTCTGGCACCGGCACAAGAACATGTGGCTTCAAAGGGTCAACGCATGCAGACGCCAGAGACTCGCACAGTGAAGCAAAACTCGGCTGGGCAGTAGCTGCAGCTGGATCCTCAGGGCACACCTTTGTCAAAACACGCAAGTGACCGCTGATCTCATCATCATCCTGAAACGCACTGGAAGTCATGTCAATCTCAACTCTCGCAACACGCTTGGCTGTGGTAGCCGTGCTGCCTGCAACCTGCGATGCTGACGGACCGACTGTGCTTGGCGCCCCAACGGTGGACGCTGTCTCTGAACCCTGTGCTTGAACCTGCTGCACCCTCGGACGCCAGCACTCAGAAGCATAATGGCCCTTGCGCTGGCAATTGTGGCAAACTACATTTGCACGGGAACCCTTGGCACCAGGATTCTGCGGCTGCTGTCCACCTTTGCCTTTGTGCTCCTTGCCTTTGTTGCTCTTGCCCTTTGGCTTGCCATCTTTGCCCTTGCCCTTGCCACCATAAGGATTCTGCGGTTGCTGTCCACCTTTGCCTTTGCGATCTTTGCCATCCTTGCCTTTGCTCTTGCCCTTTGGTCCCTTTCTTTGAAGCGCATCAACCTCCATCGGGACTGGGCCTTGCTCGACAGAACTGGGCAAAGGCACTACACCAAGAGCTTGGTGCATTTTAGCCGGAGTCCAAGACGTTGTCGTAACTTCATACCCCAGAACGTAGTCCCTGATGCTTTGGTAATTACTGGAGTCTGTCATCTGAAGTTGAACGTGTTGTTTTATCGCAGAGGGAAGGGACCGAACTAGTGTGCCTAGCATAACCTCTTCCCCAGGATAGTGTCCAGTGACCCTTTGATATTCTTCAGCTATTCTCTCGAGGCCTTGGATGTGTTCCCGCAAGCTGCGATCTTTCCCGAAGCTCGGGAGCGTCATAAGAGCATTCAAGAGAGCAAGTCCTCTGAATTTCGATTTGGGTGCGAAGGTATTGGTGAGCACCCGCCAGACCTCTAGGCCGTTTCTGTTGCTGACCTGACGCAAAATCGCTTTTGGCTTCGAACGAAGAATGCTTGCAAGAATCGCGTAGAGCCTCTGAGACCTGGCAATGCGATCAGGCGAAGCCCCAGTCAGATCAACAGGGCCCTGCAAGTTGTCCTCCACAAGCTTTAGGTCCTGCTCAAACTGGCTTTCAGCGAAAACCAGCCACGTTCTGAATGAGTGGCTCCATTCAGACCAATTTGCAAGATCGTTGTCATGTACCCCGGACCCAAATTCCGAAGGGCGATTAAGAATCTTATTCGCATCCGAAAATCCCGAAGTCAAATTGCTCGAAGGCCTTGCAACGGCTGCCTGAGCAGCCTGTGACGCTGCTTGCGCCGTCTCAACCATCTGTGCCATAAGCAACTGCATCTGTGTCATGTCGATTTGCACAAACTGCTGTGGTGCTTGCTGTCCCTGCCCAACTGGCGAGAACGGGTTCTGAGTCACTGGCGGCTCAACACCGGCACTGCCTGCCGGCTGCTGGGGCAACTGCGGCCCCTCATACACATTCTGACCTTGCGGATCCATCTCTTCTTTGTCTGATCAAGAAATTCAAGGAAATCAATCCAACTCAATCACAGAGTCCTGCTGCTGCAATCGGCGCTTGAATGCACGCTTCGGCTCGGCTGAAGAACTTGGCAGCTCACAATCAGCACTAGCTCTCAAAAGCTCCTGCAAATCAGCACTGCTAGCAAGAAGATCACGCTCGAAGTTAGGGCCTTCCTCCACAGGATGTAACGAAGCTTGTTGCAACTCCTCTGAAATGCAATTCTCAGCAACGTCTTCAGGTGCGAATGCCTCAAAAACTTCTCTCAAATGTTGTTTCTTCAAGCACTTGGTCGCAAACTTCCAAACGCACTCAACTGTATGCAGCTCTTCAAGTCTCCGCTCAAAAGCAACTCTATAAGTCGATAAGATCTTATCCCAAGAAGAACCTGATCTGCCCTCGGGACGGGGCCGTTCACAAAGCTGCTCAACGTACAAGCTGTGCAACCTTTCCTTCACTTCCTCTACCGCAGCAAGAGACGCCGTGGCCTTGCTCTGTCTGAGCACGCAATGGCTCGTCCGGTCTGCGCCGGGATTGCGATCCTACCTAGATCCTAAACGGAAACAGAAATCCCCAAAGGTCCAGGACAAACTTTCCGAAGCCTGAGCTCCCCGAACGCACTTCGCAACGCAATGTGCAAGAGAGCCCCGAGACGTGTCTCGAAGCTTGGGCTTTCCCAAGCTCCGCTACCATGAAAATGTTTTGAATCCTCAAAGACGCCTGCGGAGTATAGCGCAATCTCAGTGTGAAACTCATGAGTGCATGAAATACGATAAAGCAAATCATGATAAAATGCATGGGGTATCCTAGGAGGCAAAATGATAAACAACCGCGCTGATTGTTACCGGCTGACCTTGCGTATGAAGGGGCCGCGTTTCAAGCAGGTGTTGGAAAGTCTCATAGATGGCCCACGGGACAATGAAGGATGAGGCGTGTGGGCGTTTGCGCTGTCGCTTCAACAAGTATGGAAGCGCGCCATACTTCCCTTCTGAGACAGCACATGAGGTGTGCTCAAGCTCCTCCGCCCACCACACGTGAAATAGACTTTGAAGGTCTTGCAATGTGGGCGAGTTAGGAAGGAGGACTTTGAGCCTTTCAAGGCGCACCTTGGCCGGATGAGACGTGTGTGCAGGGATGCGTGTTGAATGGGCTTGCGATTGTTGCTTAAAGGCGCGGATTGGTATTGCTCGATAAGTAGACGCCCCAACGTCATTGGAGAGCATGCGCGCTTTACGCACCCGCAATGTTACGACACCATGGCCTTGTGGGAGAGCATGGGGCCAAAACACCCGGCTCCTGAGGCGGCGGCAGCCTTCTGCTTCCTCATTATGCAAAACTTTGTCTAAGCAAGACGCGACATTGCCGGAACGATATGTCGGGATTCCCCCTCCCGAGACTTGACGTAGGAGCCCTTCCGCACAGAAGAGTTGCCACAGGCCGGGCTGCTTTTCGGCCATGTGGTTGAAGTCTCCCATTACAAAGAGCTCGTCTTATAGATCCGGTCATCCATGACAATCACATATTTGAATCAAGTATAAGAGTCTTGATCAAATATCGCAGATTCCATCATATAAAGAATTGTTGACCAAATATATTGGTCCGGTCCAAATATATACAAAAGGATATGAAATTGATGCAAAGACGCTCACACTTCTTTTCACGGCACAGCCGAGAGTCGGGGGGAGTTTTCAAGGAAAACGAAGGTGCACAGGGCGTGCACCGGGCACTAAGAGTGCCCCTCCACTTAAGCAGAGGCACTCGAGTGCCCCCCAGAGTCCAGTCGCACGATGGAGTGCAACGTGACCTCAATCTTCCCCCATCCTCCCCGGGCGGGTGGGCGGGATCAAAAATTCTCTGGCTCGATGACGAGACAGCTTCAGCGGCCACAATTCCGAACATGAACAAAAGGATGTTTGCCGACAAAGTCAAAGATTCGTCGGTTGCTCAGAGAGTGGGTTCGCAAATCACAATATAAAATTGTGAAAACTTGAACTGCAAAGCACTACTACGAGTAGCGCAGAGGATCACAATTGAAAGTTGTGAAAGCTGAAATGAAAAGCACTACTAAGAGTAGCGCGAGGGATTGTCATGGCCCAAAATTTTGTCGCTAACAAAATTTCGTTTGACCTAGGATCTATAAAACATCGACACGCACGCGTGAAGAGATGCTTATAGATCCGGTCATCCATGACAATCACATATTTGAATCAAGTATAAGAGTCTTGATCAAATATCGCAGATTCCATCATATAAAGAATTGTTGACCAAATATATTGGTCCGGTCCAAATATATACAAAAGGATATGAAATTGATGCAAAGACGCTCACACTTCTTTTCACGGCACAGCCGAGAGTCGTGGGGAGTTTTCAAGGAAAACGAAGGTGCACAGGGCGTGCACCGGGCACTAAGAGTGCCCCTCCACTTAAGCAGAGGCACTCGAGTGCCCCCCAGAGTCCAGTCGCACGATGGAGTGCAACGTGACCTCAATCTTCCCCCTCTCGACTATGCGTTACGTTGCTTCAAGAGTGGCACCTGTGACAAAGCAAGTCGGCACGTCACGAGTAACATGACCAAGGAATGCCAGCTCCTCCCATCTGCCTCGGGACGGCGGGTCCGCGATGTTGCTCTGGCTCGGTACACGATGAAACCACGGCAGGCACGGGCGTGCTTCATCGGCGGCCTCCAAGTGAAGGAGGAGACTCCTCCAAGATGCATCGATCGAGTTCGAGTTGATGCAAGCACTCAAGACGCCGGAATGGTCGACGAAAAATATGCATCGCTCGCCATCAATGTAACTCGACCACAGGATCCTGGCGAGCACGACCGCGTAAAGCTCGACCTGCCCTATAATGTGTTTCCTACCCTCGGCCCATTCCTTGACGAGCTTGCTAGGAACCCTGCAACCGAAAGCCCTAGCAACACCCTCGCCGGGGACAAAGAGAACCCCACCGACACCAGTACTGAAGCCGCCCTCGCAAGGGTCGCATGCGCCATCTGTGAAGATGAGGACTGGGTTCGAGGCAGGGCTCGTCACAATGGCACGCGGCCTGCTCGCAAGAAGTCTTGCCCTCAGAACAGCCAAGGCATTCGATTGAGTATCCGTCAGGTTCAAGACACCCCCTCTGTCACCGAAGAGCCTGAGGTCGGCCAGGGCCAATCGCCCTGTGCGACCAAGCAGCTGAGCATCTGCGAAGCGAAGCTTTCCAAGAAGGGATGGCAGCTCCCGCGTGTCTACCTGGCCCTTTTCAAGGATGCGGCCCAAGGACTGTTCAAGCATGGCAGCTCGTTCAGGCTTGTTCGATACGAAGATGCGGCCCATGTCAGGATCGGAGGTATCCAGCACGACACCCAGCGTTTCTGCAGTGCACGAGAACGGCTTTTCTTTCTCGGACAAGGAGAAGCCAAACAGGTCCATGAGGGCATGAACTGCATTGTCAGTCCCGCCAGACAAGAACGAAGGGGTCATCGTCGGGAAATCGTCATAGTAGCAAGTTACGGCCACCCTCAAATCCCAAAGAACCCTCTGCAGGAATAATGCAACCCTGTTAAACTGCATGACCGAGGCTGAAGCTCCGAAAGGAAGAGTGTTACACACAAAGGCCTTGACGGCGCGGGAGCCCGGCTCCCTGAGCAGGATAATGGATTTCGGCCTCTCGCTAGGGTGCAGTGCGAGCTGCTTGTAGGCAGCTTGAAGATCGTAAGTTTTGCAGTGAGGGCGGACACGGTCAGGGTCCTTCCAAGCCGTATGGAGGGGTCCCTTGAGTCTCTCACCGGTGCTGAGCTCAAGATCGAGGGATCCTGAAGATTTTGCCGCACGGCAAACCTGCATGCACAGCCAGCAGATCTCATCGAGGGCCTTGAGAGTAACACGTTCAAAGCATCCGAAACAAGAGTTCACAGCGGCTTCCGAGAAGTCATCGATCGCACGCCACTTGCCCTGCCAGACTGCAAAACGGCGGCAGGCGTTCCAACCGTCAGGGAAGTTGTCCCCCAAAGAGTCAACGTCGATCGGGCCGTCAAGCCAGCACTTCCCGGATCTGTTAGACTCCTCAAGCGTCATGTTCCAGAGCTCTTCGGCATAGTCATGGTCCTTCTGGGCTCTGACTTTTTCAAGCAGGGTTTCCCTCCGGAGGGGAGCACTTGCCCAGAAATCGTCAAGGTCCATCGTGGCAGGTTTACCATCGCTAGCGAATACCCCCGTACGCCCCAAGTACCCCGTTAGCTTAAAGCCGGCAGCCAGGTCATCGAAGAGGGTCGTGTCAGGCCACGACAAGTCGGCGGCGATCCTCTTCATGAGTGCGATGCGCTTACAACCAAGGACCTTCCGCACACAAGGGTCCATCGCCGATCTGATTTTCTCTTCGTCGGGATCAAGCTGCTTGGCGAGGGCTCGCCACTGTTGTAGCTTCAAAAGGCGGTGCTTCATGGTGTCAACTGGGCTCTTCGTAAGAGTGTCAAACAAGACTCGCAAAAGTTCATCTGGAAGTGATTTGGCAGAATCGAAGGGGTGCACAACCAACTTTGCCTCGTTCAAGAAAGCTTGCATGGATCGATAGACGCCGAAAGTGTAGAACTTGTTCCCCTCTGGGAGTCGCGAACCTCCCCTTTCAACTGACTCCCGGAGGAGCTTGGCGCCTGCAGGGACGCCTTGCCAAGAAGCCGAAAGGCAGTGCTTGGAGTTGAGAGTGGGAGCTGCAGCACTGGCGACTGACATAGTGTAAGCAAATTCAGAAATGATTGGCGGAAACTTGCGGCCACGAGGTTGCACCTGACCTGCGGCACGCGCAGCAGAAACCCTGGAGGCAACGAGGCGTTCAGGCGCAATCCCTCGTGATGCAGCTGACTTATCCACGCATGAGACAATCCTTTCGCAAAGAAGTTTGGGATAGCCCGTCTCCTCAGCTGTTGCAAAAGAATTGCCCTGCTTACCCCACGGCAAGTGCGAGGAGCATCCCGGGCATGGTCCCGAAAGGCAGTGTAGAAGCTCCGAGTTTGTGAGGAGGGCTGTGGCCTTCTTGCGTTGTGACCCGTGGCGGCACGAGTCGAATGTGACGAAGGAGTGCTTGGCGACCAGCTCGGCCCACCTCGGGAGCTGCCACAGGTAACTGTGAAGAGGGTTTTCAACGGAGAAGGGAACATGCGGCATGGCATGCAGCAGCCAGTCACAGAAGGCTGCCATGCTATCATAAATGGTGTTTGCACTGTCCACTCTCGCCTGCTCCACTGGTGGGAGGCCGGGCAGGCCGCGCACATGACGGACTGAACGCAATGGCTTAGGGCCGGGACCGCACTCTCGAGCCCGGCTAGCGGTGCCGCATGGAGGAGCCATGTGCACCCAAGCAACATCGTACTCGGAGCAAATGCGTCGCAAGAAAGACCAAGTGCTGGCCAGGCGCAAGTCGAGCTGTAAAGTGTGCACACACGCCCGCTGTTTGTTGTGATGCCAGTCGATGGGCACGGCTGTGTATCCGGCCTCTTTGGCAACATAAGACAGCATAGCAGACCCACTACAGATTTCCAGAAACAGCGGTTTCTCATGCCTGGGAGTCCGCTCGGCTTGAGCTTGCGATTTCAAGCGTTTACAAGGAGGGTCGGCGGGTGAGGCGGGACTAGAACCCAAAGGAGCGGGGGCAGTAGGGCTAGACCCAGAAGGTGCACTCTCAAATGGCAAAACAGGCTGAAGAGGCGGAGGGAGCTGTTGCGCCGCGGCAGCAGGAGCACACGGAAAACCCAATGGGAGCAACGTGGCGGGTTGCCCACCTGAAAGAGTGTAAAGTGTTACGACCCACCTCTCACCTGTGAAGGGCATCGTCTTATGCCACAAGTTGCACGGAAAACTAGTGGGGCAACAAAACGTGTCTACGATTTTACCCCTGATGTGCTTATCGCCTGCGACAGTGGCTTGAGAAGTGCCCGACGCATCTTCGAGCCAAAGTTGGCCCCCAGTGAAGGTGCCAAGCGTGAAAGTGTGGTTCAGCGAACCCGCTTGGTTCCCTGAGTCCCTGTGGAAATCTGACAAAGTATTCCTGCCCACGCAGATTGCATTCCAGGAAGCTTGAGGCAGAAGCTCCTTGACAGCTGAGTTCAGGCGCAATACGAAGTCCTGCATGGCAAGGGTGGCATGTGTCAAATGTTGCGGACTGCTGGCCCTGGGTCCAAAGTTGTAATACCCCGACTGCGTGGAGTTCACCGACGAAACAGACTTACGTTGCAACACAGAGTTGGGCCACTCAGCATTCTGAAGCAATTGCAAAAGTGAAGAAAAATTTCTTGTATCCACACTAGCACTCTGCTGACACGGATCAAGATGCACTAAAGGAGAATCTGTCGGCGCAGGGGAGGCCTGCGGCGATGCAAAACTGTGCCCAGCCAAGCCTGGGCAATCCCGACTCTGAGTCGAGTGCTGCGAGCTGCAGGGCTCGCGTTCCGACTGTCACTCCTGCTTTTGGCCTAGAGCCTCAGCACGCAGCGGACAGTCCAATGCAGGGTGCGACTTGCCGCACTTGGGCCATGCGCAAATGCGCACGCATCGACCACGAGTCACGGTTTCTCTGCATGTTTTGAGTCCATACCCAAAACATATGTTTTCACCAGCATTGGTGCATGATCTGCAGCCCGCCAGAGCGGCGGGAACCTTCCCGGATCCTTTGGTGCCCTTGGCACCCTTCCCTGTGCCCTTTCGGCCTTTGCCCGGACGATCATACGGGCCCGGCCCGTGCGGCCTCGGCGGCGGTGCCACCTGCTGCGTGACTGAAGCGCCTGCTGCCCGAGGCATCGGTTGAAGCAGATGAAGCACCTCTGGTGACTGCCATGTGTCCTCGAAGATGGTGTCCAATGGACGCCCCCCAGCTTTGAGCTGGATGCCTGAGCGAGTCGCTTCTCCGAGAAGCTGCCAAAGCTTCCTGTCAGCCTGCTGACACTGATCAAGCGTGGGCTGCATGTGCGTCGACGGAGGTGCGTCGAGGCGCGCCGCAAGAAGGCGCTCAACCCACATGTGGTGGCGATGGTAGTCAAGGATGTTCGCCATTTCCATAGCGATGCCGCGCCTTTGAAGCGCGAGCTGCAAGAGCAGCTCCGTGCTAGTATCGGCACGGACCTCAACCTTCGTCTCCGACCTGAGCTTGCCCGTACTGTCCAGCGAGAAGAAAGGCTCTCGCTTTGCCCCTGTTGGGGCCTCTTGCTCTTTGGAAACAAGCTTCTCCCACGGGACAAACTGCAGCTTGTCCTGTTCATACTGGGATACGAAGGAGTCGACGAGGCTATCAGCAGGCTCAAGACGGTTCTTGATCGAAAGGCCCACAAGGCGTTTGCTCACTACCTCGAACCTCTCAGATCTCTCCGGGACGCTCAATTTTCTTGGGATGGATTCATCCGTCCGCTCCACAAGCATCTTCATTTCCGAAGTGGTAACAGCATATGCTTCATGAAATAACCTTCGGAAGGAGCTTTTCTGCCCTACAGAGGGCGGCGTCCCGAGGGCCGACTCGAACGCCGCAATGAGGTCCTTGTCATCGCCAGAGCCCGGCGTGTAGCTCGTCATGAAAGCGACCTTTGCGAGTGAATCCACACCCACCTTCTCGAGTTTTTCGACATCCGCAGATGCCAAACCGACCTGGGCACATCGTGATTTGAACACTGGCCCCGACTCGGAGAAGGCCGCCATGGTGTGCTGCTTGGACCACTACGAGCTGAAAGCAGCTGCAGGAGGGCTTTGCTCTTCATCAAATCACGCATCTTGCAGGACACGACATCCGCCAGATCTCTGCTCTTGCACGATACCACAAATGACAACACTTGACCGGCTTGCGGAGCGCACGTGCACGACATCACCATTTTGCACAAAATTGCAGGCACGAGCCGGATGCAGAGTCATGTGCCCTGCTGCACAATCAAATATCTCCTGAAGCACTGTTTGCACCTTGGATGCAAAACTGCGGGTCGCGCCTCCAGCTTCCTGTACTGACCCGAAATGGTCCTACCGCAGCCTAGGTTGGCACCCGCTTCGTCGGCAGTGATGTGCACTACCCTGGATTGGCGATGCCGAAAGAAAACACACGAGGGATCAATCTTGTCAAGGTCGACCTTCCCATGCCAGTCCAAAGCCTCGGCAACACAAGCTTCGTCCCCTGAGTGGTCGATCTCCTCCTCGTCCTCGGAGCCCTCAGAGTCTGACGACTCGATCTCGTCGCCAGGGGGATCGGCATGCGCCGACAGCTCGGAAGCAAGCTGCTGCCCCCTTGGTTTGTCGGGCTTGAAGGCCCCGGACGACACCTCGTCGATCATAGATGACAAAGCCCTGAGCGGAGCCGACTGGGCGTCGGACTCATAGATCAGCTCTGATCCCGCACCCGAGGCTCGGGACGTATGATACCCCAAGAGGGCCCTCTGTTCTCTGGGCAGACCACGCTTGCTTGCCCAGCTCAGCAAAGTTCTCTTAAGGCTATGTGTACCAACATTTGCAAGGTAGGGATCGCTCTGAGCGTTCCCCAGCAGGCTCCTGAGCCACGAGCAAGCCTGATCGCACGGAAGCGGGATCATCTTCCACGAACCATTCGAAGAAGGGCAGGGGAGCAACGGGTCGTTCGGCTTGATCGCAAGACCCGCCTCCGCCAAAGCCTCAAGCCACGCATCGGCCCATGCACACTTGATGCCCACTTTCCTGGCAGCCATTGGCAAGTACCTGGTCTTGCGTTCCAAAGTGAAACTCGTCTTGGACCTGCCCACACTGCACTCCAAGTAGAGCGGCGGATCAGTCAGCGATGCTACATTTTGCCCGTCACTGTATCTAGCTCTTGCATAAATCAAGAAAAGAAAGAAACCCGAAGCGACCCGGTCCTGTAGCGACCTGTCCTCAAGTTTGCAACAAATCCTTTCAAGAAGAATGACATCAGAGACCCTCAGAGGATTGCGCTGCTTGAGCTTCCTCTTTTGCATGTACAGCTTCGATGCAAGGCCGCGGATGCGACCCGAGGCGTAAACCTTATCACACCCTTCCAAGCCTACAACATGCTGTGCGAACGCCACAGATGAAAGAAGGCTCCTGAACGAGGTCGCCGCTGCAGTTGCCTTCTTCTCCTCGAAGTATGCATAGACAGCGTGCTCTGTCAAGGGGAAAACGAACGGCATGTTTCCTTTCGCCCAAGAAACAAAACGCAACAAGCAGTTTGCCCTGGCGTTAATCGTCGAAGTGGCCTTGGCAGCAAGGCAATCTGAAATGCTATCCGCAAGCGACCCCGAAGAGATCCCCGACGCCTTACCGGCATAGAAGTTCCTAGCTACGCAGAAGGTCAAGGGCTCGACCATGACCAGGCTGAGCCACTTGTTCACAGCCAGATTTCTCTCCTCATTGATCATAACCTCCCAAGAAGTATGTTTGAACTTGGCCATTTTTGCACACACTTGTTCAAGCCCTTCCGACCTGACGAAGCGAGGGTTCGGCACGGCAGGTTGATCGGCAGAAGGGTTCACTGGGACTACAAGGGGGAGAGGTCCAAGAGGAGGCGGCAACCGGGGCCTAGGGTCGTGGGCTAACAGCGTATTACCCCAGGGAGTCTTCCACACTGACTTGGAGTCTCGCAGGCAGGATCTGAGGTGAAGGCCAAAACTGGAAGCAAGGGAGCCTCCTTCATCCCCCATTTCACTACGGCTCCCTCAAGCAGACTGCAAAGGCGGCTCGAGAAACGACCTGAAGGCAGAGCGCAGGCTCTGAATGATACCCTCAAGCCACGACAGGCGCTGATGATGGCCCGTCTGGTTCACCCAGACGCGAGAGAGGCTATCTTCTAGTGCTTGCACCTGGGACCTGAGAGCTTGCACCTGAAGCCTGAGCTCGTTAACCTCTAGCTGGAGCTCGTAGATATGCTGACTCAAAATCTCCTACGTGCTCTCAGAGCTTGGCTCGGAACGATGGGACGAACCTGCGGCAAGCGCGTCGCCGAAGTCCATCTGACACCCCGCACCAGGGCGGGGAGTCGTGACGCCCTAAAGCCTTGAGATAAAGGGCCTGGAACCTGCTAGGACGCCGTTACAAGCCCCTAGCGGAGTAATCAAAAATTCTCTGGCTCGATGACGAGACAGCTTCAGCGGCCACAATTCCGAACATGAACAAAAGGATGTTTGCCGACAAAGTCAAAGATTCGTCGGTTGCTCAGAGAGTGGGTTCGCAAATCACAATATAAAATTGTGAAAACTTGAACTGCAAAGCACTACTACGAGTAGCGCAGAGGATCACAATTGAAAGTTGTGAAAGCTGAAATGAAAAGCACTACTAAGAGTAGCGCGAGGGATTGTCATGGCCCAAAATTTTGTTGCTAACAAAATTTCGTTTGACCTAGGATCTATAAAACATCGACACGCACGCGTGAAGAGATGCACGTTGTGACCTTGACGTAAGGTACGAAACCAAAGCACGACCAACTTCAGCAAGCTTATCTGAATGTGCATACACACAGATAATCTCACAGCGATGCGCAAAATGTTGGACTCTTGCTGACAGGATCAGGCCAGGCAGAATCTCAGTCTGCGAGGTGAGGGTGAAAGGAGCTGGGACCAGGATAGCAACGCCCGAGCTAACTGATGCGGAAATCGCTGGTGATGATGCAATTGCCGCACGTGGAAAAGTATGTGCGGCGGCTACCGGGCCTGCGGCATCCCAATTTGTCTCCTGAAGACACACCGGACCTTTCTTTAGCAGACTAAGGATCGTGTTAGTTTTGCACACCGCCGAGGTGCTCGTCCATACAGTGTAACTTGAGACGTTCCATGTGGATACTTGAAATGACAGGCCAACACCAGTGGAAGGGTCGGACGATGTCTTAGTCGAGACAAGTTGCTGGGTTAGGGCAAGTATTGCCCCCCCAAGTAGTTCCTGAAAAGACTCCAAGCTTCCAGGCTGTGGCGGGTAGCCCAGAACAAGGGCAAGGAGGGAAAAAGGCTCCTGACAGCCACTTGGGTGTGGCAAGTGACCAGCCTTCCACTGATCCAAAAGAGCATCCAAGCACTGTGTGACAGACGCCTGGGACACCACAGGTACAGGTGGAGAGTTGGTAAAGGATAAGGTTGCTCTGAGGACGGCTAGCGTTGGGAAGGTTATGGGGACACCCTGTAAATGCCAAATCAGATTTAATGACCGTACACGACACCGCTTGGTGTGGGCTTGCTGTGTAGCTAAGAATTGGAAGCAACGTAGTAGAGTCGCCCTCACAAGAGGGTGTATAAGGGAGGTTGTGGCAACAGTCATCCTCCTTTGAGTGCTATATTTGTGGCTGGCTGCGGCACATAGCCGGGGACGACCATTATAGTTGCTTCATTCTCAGCTACTGGGGCAAGCTTGATCAACGCGGTGTGTGTACGGGATTTGGCATCGAGGCCATCAGGCAGCCAAGCAATAGGTGTCAGTGTTGCAGGCTGTTGAGCAGGCCATTCGACATCATAAACACAAACTCCAGAGTGCAGCCATTGAGCAATGTAAAAATGATATTGAGCACCTCATGCTCAATGTGGACGGGGTCAATTTCCCGAGACCATAATTCCTCAGTAAGGAAAGCATTACCCAACAATGGAATCAATATGAGAATTATGGCCTGGACAAGATGGAAGTGGCCTAATACTGAAAGAGGACCTCCAGATACGCTCAGCGCACAAGCGGCTTCGAATGTCGAACAATTAAAAAGGAGGACAGCCGCATAGTCAACTTGAAGATATGCGGCGAGAACTTCAAAGTCACCGGTAGGTAACTTGAGGTGTGGGAAGACAGGGGAGTTGAGGAGGGGCAACACCTTGTCGGTGATGGCCCCTTGGCTGACCTCAGCTTGGAACCAGAGGGCGCCAGTTAAGCAAGGCGGAATGGCAACGAAGCATACTGTGCGAACATGGGCAGCCTCAGATTTAAAGGCCCAAGAAGCGAGCTTATCGTCAATAAGATGAAGGAAAATGATAAGTCGACCTTCAAGGGCGCTCGGGAAGGAATTTAGGATGAAGCAAATGTACCTGACATATAAGTTCTCAAGATGACGTGCCTTGGTGCCGCAAAATTCAACAACGGATATTTTCCGAAGGGTACTGCACCTGGGGAATTGTGAGAGGATCTGCGATGTGGTAACATATGCAACAGTGCTGAGTGGGATCCCAAAGGACTGGGAAAGATTCCTGAGCGTGACATCAAAGGCTGCAGGGAGTTGCCCTAAAAGTTGCGGTGTGGCCTCAGGTGGCTCGTGGATGAAATCAGAGCCACTTCCTCCCAATCCAGTAGTGAAAAGAGGCACCCAATCAACACTTGCAAAGGGCTTGTGACGGACGGTTGGCTTGCTAACCCTTAGATTTTCTACTCCATGCCAGTAGGAGGGCGCTAAGATATCGTCGCCTAGGGGCTGAGGTTGAATATCACGCTTCCACTCTTGTGCCCGTTCATGAGAGACCTGCCGTTGAATAACAGCAGAATCGATGAGTTCATGAACAGACTTTTTCAGGGCCTCATAGTGCGTACGCAGTTCGCTAGGTGACGGTACTGCAGTTAACGGTAGACAGCTTGCAGGATCGGTAACAACGAACCTGCGCACGACGCTGGGTATAAAGGAGTTTCCAGCGAGAGAAGCAATGAGGCTCAGTGAAGTTGAGCGTGGAACAACTCTGAACGCCTCGAGAAGCTCTAAGTCTGCAAGTATCTCTTGCAGCTTTATCGGGCGGAAGGGAAGCGAAGCAGTTTGGAGATACTCGAAAAGTGGCTCGAGAGTATTCTCGAGCCCTTGGTCAATGAAACCATTGCAAGAATTGCCAGCTGTGACAAAGGTCGTCCAGTTGGACAGGAGGTGTGCAGGAAAGAAATCCTCCCAGGGAACAACTGGGTAACGTTGCTTAGATGCAGCTGGATTGCAGCAAGCGGCTTCGAAGTTGGCACAACTCCCGAAATAGGAGATCTGATATAACAAAAAGCGAGGATGGTACAGTGCAGTTGTCAATCGCGGAGCTCCATCTTGAATTTCTCCTCTTGGCCTCATAAAGGGAGGAAGGGTGGCTCGCGAAACTCGGCCGTGGTCGTCAACGACAAGAGCGGGAGACCATCCAGCTTCAATTGGATAGATGCAATGCCGCTGTACTCCCGTAACAGGTTGACTGGCTCGGGAGAAAAAGGCTCGCTTTCTGGAGGCAATCTTGCCGAAATCCGCAGCATCTGCAATAGAGAGTGCACTGGCCGGAAGGCCAAGACATAATGAGATGTGCCGCTGGAAGATAGGTTTCATAGAACCTGCGTTCTCAAGGATGGGTTGGATGGCGATTGCAGGAGCGTAATAAAACGCCGAGCTCCTCGATCCCGTGAGTCCAAGGTGCCCTTTGCTATAACCAGCGAAGGATAGGTCAGGACACGGGGAGCCAGCAACGACATAGATGCACCCGAGCGTTGCCTCACAAAGAAGAAGCATTTCCTTGATTTTTTTACAAGAATTATCAAGGATGTCAGCAACGTCTTTTAGGTTGGCGACAGGGTAGCCACCTCCACACTCTTGCCAGTCGCCTTGTACGTCAAAGTGACGTAGGGTCGAAACTAATGCTCGTATGTGATCGCTTTGTTCGACAGCTATTAGGGCACTGGGATGCTGTTTATGGCATGAACGAATGATATCGACTGCCGGGCAGGCTCCATCAAACAAAGAGATGACAGCATAAGGTGCAGAGCTCAGGGGGCCATTCCCGGAGAGCTCTTTGGCAGAGCGTGTTAGTCCGATAAAGCCAGAAGCCCGTCGATAATCAGTAGCGATAGTATTTCGCAACTGTCTGACTCCTCTCTCCGTGGCAGCAGCAGCAAGAACCTCAGGCTTGAGGACTTTAGCATTGGCTGGTGCCACACCTGCAGAAGAGTTTCTCTTTCGAGACACTTCTTCGGGCCTGGAGATATCGTCGTCCGAATCGTGGACATCAATGATATCACGCTTGTTAGCCTCCTCTGCCAGGGGCATCGGTGTGTCTGGGTCTTCCGGATCGTTAACAGTGTGTTTGACACTGAAGGGTTCTGTTGTTGCAGCGGAAGGAGCAGCATAACGATCAACTAAAGAACCAAAACCAGAGGCTGAAACCGCTAAGGTGGAGGAGGCTTTAGGTAGGCCAAGTTGTGCCGCAGCATTGATGTACGTTTGCTGCACTCGTCGGCTAGCGGCAGTGGCAGCTTGCACAACAATCGTCGTTACAGAGGACTGATCTCCAACCTCTTCCTGCCATTCTGCAAATGAAATGGCATCCTTGGCATAGGAAGCACACTCCTCTGGTAACTCATCACGGAAGATGAGTCTTAATCCCCGCAAGTTGTCATATGAATAAGCGAGTCCACAGTCAGCAAATTCAAGAGTACAATAATGCTGAAGTCGTTTGGAGTGAACGACAAGGGCTTGTACCCT